GCCAAACTGATTCGCATCCTGAGTTCGAACATCCCGAAGGAACTGCTATGATCGTCACACCGGATGAATCAAGCTTGCAGATTAGGTATATAAGATATATAGGGAGTTGTTTTCTCAGTCATGGATTTTCCTCAACCAAATAGTAGTCTATGGTTTCGATTACCTCTGGGCAAATACAATGACTGCATTCAATCCATACGCAAAGAACCTTCATCCATCAGCTTGCACCGCTGCCAACCCCTCCCCCCCGCCAGGAAAGATACCCCGCAAAAAATGCAAGGCTTCCAAAACCCAAAGCTTTGGGTGGGGGTAAGCCAATGCCCAAAACACAATTACGTTTGCGAGCTCATTGGAGCTTCAAAAAAAAGGAACGACTGCAATGGGCCGCTTCCTTTCTGTTTCGGTTTCAATCAACACCAAACGGGGTGCCGGCAAACAAAGACACATCCATGTCTAGAACAATTCATATTTCTTGAACCAAAAAAAAACATAGCGGAGTTCCCAGATTCGGAACGACCACATCCCCCCCTGAACCGCTCCGCTTCCCATCGCCTCCGGCCACGGCGCCTTAGAGTTTCCATAAACCAACACGTTGGTAAGCATAAGGATCCGATTGAACGCATACATCAAGGACCCCCCAATGGCTGGCAAGCAACCCCAAAACAGCCATAATGAGGTCATTCCACAGACCATTTGCCAGCCATTGGGGGGTCTGGTGCGTGGGTTTCCTTGTTTCCCCTTTACACCCCCCCCCGCCAAATCCAAAGAAAAAAGTACCCTCAACAAACGACAGACCCAGTGCTTTGTCAACTACAACCAACTGGAGGACCTATTTGCGACGAGTTCGCCAAGGGCATGTGGTTCGTTCATTTTTAAAGTCTAGAAGTCCTCTGGTGCTAACCGCCAGTTTCACCTCCCGCTTCATTCCCATGTGCACCGCACAAAGGAACTCACTCACTGGATTCCCCGGCTGATGTTTAGGGCAAGGGAAAATATCGGCGATGCTCCCGTTGTTTTACAACCGGAACCCGAGAACAAGGAGGGCCGACGCCCGCAAGGCTCTGGTCACACATCGCTCAGAACACCAGCAAAACAAGCCCAGAACATGCTTTCCGCTCAAATCTGTGCTTTGCGTTATGTCCGGTCTAGGTGACAACTAAAGGCCACCTAGAAGGAGCCCTCTTGACAACTACACATGTCGGCCCGTGATTGACAACCTCATTTCCCCCCCCCCCGAGTGCTCCCTCGGTCAATAAGGGGGAGTCGTCCCACTTTAGTGAGTCTTTTATTGCCAAGGACTCATTCTTCATCGATCACAAGGCCATCAGACTTCTTAGCGCCCTGCGCTCGGTTGCTGCCACGGCTGCTCACCTACAAACACTCACATGCTCAAACCAGGGACCGCCCTCCCCACACAAACCAAACATGAGCGTTTCCTTTTGGCATCCATCCCTTTGCACCCCGGCCGAGAGTGCAGCGAAATAATTCAGCTTGACGCCAACAAGATGCCCCAACTCACCACGAGAAGATCCAGTACTGTTGAATGTTGGACCTTCTTTACTGTGACCCCCCTCCCCCGGAAAAAGCCACCGGGGCTGGGTTGGGTTCGCCCAAATATCTGCCAGCCCCGAGAAGCACCAACAAAGTGGCCGCCAAGGCATGGAGTGCTAGTTGGTTGGTTCACCCTGGTTTGTTGCCGGGAGACAGAAGCCGCCAAACCACGCCCAAACATTGCAAAGTTCCTGCAACAGCCATCGGAAAATGGCTACACATTTAAGTTGGTGATGTCACGAGCCCGCAAATTCACCATCTGCCGGCGACCGACAGTTGTTTCTCTGATCCAACTTGAGAATGTTTGTCTGGAATGGCCCCTCTGGGCCAAAAATGGACTTCCCCAAAAGTGACCAAAGTCCATATTATCTTAGGGAAATGCAATTCTTAGGTTTGCAACATATCACGCTAACCGCTAACACATTAACACAAAGGTTGGGTTCATACATATCGTCACCATTGTTTCCCCTTCAGGCTTCTCATCCAAATTGGGTCGACCATTCGGCCATTCTTTTAAGGGCAAGGAACCCTAGGATAATTCATTGAATAGGGCCAGGGGTCCCTCAATCTGCTTTTCTGGACCTGTGGGCAAAACAAAAACTGGGGTTTCCACTCGGGCCAGGAACCGGCTGGCGGAAGAATTCTTGGGGAAAGGAACCCTTTCATCCAAATTGGGTTCCAAGGCGTTTAATGGGAGCGGGTTGAACCCTGGGATGGCCATATTTCACCACTATAACGTTCACCCTTCAGGATTCCCCTCCAAATTGTGTCAACACTTCTTCCACTCTTTCCTCCAAATTGGGTCAACCGAATCAAAGCCCTTCAGCCATTCCTTTCCAACGCATCACACCATCGGCTTTGTGTAAAGGAAACTACCCCCATCCACCCCCCCCACCCATCCACCCCCCCACCCATCCACCCCCCCCACCCATCCCACCCCCCCACCCATCCTTCCCCCATCCACCCCCCATTCGGGGAATCCGGTTGCATTGGGACCCCTCGGCCTGGTGCGCAGGGCGCCGAGGAGTCCGAGGCCTTCGAAAGTGGCCGAAGCTGCGAGGGCCGTGGGGGCCGCCGATTTTTCGGCGGGAGTAGTGCGGTTGAACAGGGATCCGTACATTCTGCACCTGAGCGTTGCCTTGTAAATGGTGGCTTCCCTTTATTTTGGTGGAACAAGCCGTTTCAAATGGGCAACATGTATCTTTTAAGGAGCCCTGTTGAAGGAACCGGTTTTGGGGAGCCCAACTTACGGAAAACGAGCAGCCAGTTGGATGGATTTTGTCTGGATGGTCATTAAGTAAGTTGGATGGATGTTTTTTGGATGGTCCTTGTATTTCTCGCTTGTTGAGCACCAGCAAGTTTGTACTCGTTCATTGACATTTGAAGCTTGAGTTTAACCAGGTAGAACCACCCACTCAACTGGGCTGCTCTTCCCTGAGCCTCCAACATGTCTAAGGGGCTAAGGTCACACCAAAGACTGCATGCTCGCATCCTTCCAACCGAACCGCCCACTTGGGCCCATACACAAGGTATCCTCCCACCCTGCAGCCCCCCCCCAAACACTAAGTAAATGATCCCATATTGACGGTGCCATGGTGGTTCACCATTGTGCCAGGGCAAGCTTGAAGCAACCTTTGCCACACCTGGCTCGTGCCATGGACGTAACGAAATTGAGACTCCTGCAAAAAGGAAGGGCAACAGGTCCAGAAGGGGTTCCTTCATAAACGGGTCAGTTTTGACTTCCATGTGAGAATATGTTGAATAGCTGGCCCTTGCCTGAACGAGCAAAGGGTAGACTCGCAGGTTTCCGCCCTCAACAAAAAACATTGTTTGTTTGGCTGGATTTCAAAAACTATCCAAAGGCAAGCCATCGAATAAATTGTCGATTGAACTCACCCACAACCCTCGCTCAAACTTCTCGGAGCCGCCGAGGCGATACATGCGGTTCCCCTGCCGACCTCCTTCTCCGACTGTGGAACCAGATTCACAGATCTGCCTATTGTTTACAATTGTTTGAAAAGCAGTGCTCGCGATTGTCGGTCCAACTGTTGGATCGTGTGTCTTTCAGGCAACAGGTGTGTCCTGAAAAGAACAATACAAAAGCCTAAAATACGGTAAGATTGTCAACCCATACGCGAGTGGGGATGCCGTACTGAGCTAAAATAACACTTGGATCCCCAAGTGAAGACCCTCATAGTGAGCTCGGTTTACTCCCGAATTGAGCTCACCATAATCTCCGCAGAATATGCCGTCTCTTGACGAAGCAAACTCGGCCCATAGTGTCTTCTGGTGTGATTCTGAAAGGAAGCTAATAGGAAGCTGACCATTGTTGGGGGTCCCAACCGTTTCAAGACACGCCCATATCCCTTCCGATGCGTGAGCTGGGCAGCGAACAAGGGGGCACTTATAGCTGAAATAGTGCTAATAACTCCAACAGCTCTGTATGCTCACTCTGACTCTTGTGCGACCTCGCTGGCCAGCTGTTGCACCCCAACTTCTTAAGAAAACAAAAGACAAATCGCGCACCTCTGAGCGGCATCCGCAGGAGGAGATGTAGGTCACACGCGCCTCCCCGCCCAAAACGACGAGACGTAGATCTTTGGCAGTGCCATGGTCAACCGAATCTGGAGTCATAGGATTCCTTGCCTACCCATGCACAGGTCCACCACCATAGCAACAAGCAAAAGTTGGTGTTTGATCCTCATCCCTTTGTCAATGTCCAACTGATTGGTGATTTGGATTGGTGGTTTAGTGGTAACCACCAAGGGGTAGCTCCTATTTACCCTCTACAGAACAAACCACCAATTGGGGGTTACAAGTACCTGACTTTGCGAACACGGTGCAAACTGGCGAGATCTGGCGAGAAAACACACACGGCATGGGCCAGTCTCCTAGGGTTGGCTTCCAAACATTCTTGGGGGCATGCCCGGATCCCCGTTCAACCCCCCTGAAAACCATGAACCCAATTTGGATTATGAAGCTCCTTAGGTTCACAAAGAGGATAACATTAACCCCCATTGTTGAAAAGGCGGATTGAATCCCAGGGATTAAAGTATTCGAATAGTTCACGACTTCTCACTCGCTTCTGTTTTCAACTCCCGAGCGGGTTGCTGCAACATCCCCTAGTTCCAGCCTGCTTCGTCGAAACGAGCTTCTAGCCCCAAAACTGCAAGCCAAACAAAGAAGACAATTACTTAACCAAACGCGGCCTTCCCCCTGAGCCAAAGGTCTATCCTAATGTAGGTTCAATGGAAACCCGTTTGTTTCCAAAAGATTTAAGGGGCTAAGATCACTCCAAACACCAGCCGATACACCGCCCAAATCAATCTACAACTTGCCGCGGGAAGAATGACACAGATTCCTAAGCCAATTTGAAGCGTATCAAAGCGGCCACGGAAATCTAACCGGACCAACCCCAAGCGAAGAAAAGGACCCAAACCGTCCCATTCCTAGGCCCGTCCCTTGAACTGTGAGGTCCTTGGGCTCGACGCCTCGTAGGCGAAGCCGACTTGAAGCCCCGAGACCTCAGAATGCGACGCAGGCGTGTCAATCGAACAGCGGACAGGCGCTGATCCGGCTGATAGGTGGGCGGTCTTGCGGAAACGGCGCGAGTCATGGGAATCTTTGTTCTTGGGGATGTTGCAAGGTAACCGCTTCAATCTCCCTCTCTGCAAGTTGTCCACCACTAGCTTGAGGCATTTTATACCCCACCCCACCCAAGAATCTGGGCTTTTGATTGCGGTTTCTGAGTGGGCCCAATTCTAGCCTCTTGTAGCTTGGTTGCCAAGTTGGCCGGAGCCAAAGCATGCGGATTAGGAGCAAGGGGTGGGTATGGTGTGTTCAACCATTTCCCATAAGAAGCCAACAGGTGTATATATATATATATATTCTGGGGTTGGTTGAATGTGGGCTTCTTACAATTCACTGCATGAATTCTGGAAGCCGCAAGGCAGTCTGATGGGTCAAGATGTATCCGGGTAAAAGGATGGCGAATTCAACTCCCCTTCAGCTTAGTCCTCCCCTTCCTCAAAGTAACCAAAAACACGCAAATAGTGCCATCTACTTTCACCCTTGGGTAAGGGACCGGTTCCCCCGCGCGGTAACAGCTTGCACCGAAACCAAAAAAAAGAGGTATCCCCAAACGACTGTCCGAAACATGAAGCAAGTACATAGCAGAAATGAGGTATTGGAAGCGGGGCTCGGATGCCAACAACCTTGCAAATGACCGCAATTTACTTAGGCTTTTTGTTTGGATGCAGGTGCTTCATTTGCAATATCAAGGGCACCCACCGAGCCCCTTGTAAGAAGCATAGGCTTGGGCGAGCCTTATTGGGCCATATAGGGCCTTCATCAATAAGTTAAGGCATTATTCAGCCTATCATGCAACACCTAAGTGGCTCTACCAGTATGGTTGTAGAGGTCCACAGGCCTTACTGCAACCTCTGCTTAACAGGGTATTAACATCGCCACAATTGCCAACATTAGCGCTACATCTCAAACGGACGGTTTCCACACCTAAAAGCCACATATTCAGGTAGTTTGCAAGGTAGCCTGAATGGGTTTCCCGTGTACCAGCCTCGACCCCGCTCCATGTCGATCAACCAAGACTGCGAAGGATCAATGGATAGTACCAGCGAACCGACAATACGCACAACCATGAATCACAGTGCAAATCAGAGACTTTTCCTTAGCCTTTCTTGAATTTTCTTGGATAACGCGCTGAGTGGATAGGCAAACACAAGTCTGAACTTGCTTCTTTCCACTAGAATGATCTTCCCCCAAAAAAGTCCAGGAACTCAGGAAGTGAGCCCGCTATGGGGAAAAAAAACGCAACCAATTCAATTGCGGTAAATCAGAGGTTTTCATGGTTCGCTTTCCAAATTGTACAAAAACCACTTGGATGAACCTATGGGACAATACAACTGCATACTAGTATTATGTGTCATTCCCATGAAACTACTTTGTCGCTTCGGATGATTCCCTCACAGAAAGCAGCGAGTTGGAAACCCGCCCGAGGCGCCTGGCTTCCAACCGAACACTACCTGCAACCAATCTTCCATTTGGTTGAGACACCTGGAAAAAATGGAACTATTTCAGTAGTGAGAAAATCCTTTTAAAACCAACCAAGGGAAAATAACTGGGTGAATTATAATGTTTCACCAACCTGAAATAAGGTGCTTGGGGGGCTATTCCCCACATAAACCAGAGGTCGTGTGAGGTCAACAAAATTCACCCCCCCAAAAACAAAACATCTTCAGCAAATGGAAGCACTTCGAAACCCTTTCCCGGCCTTACACGAGGAGCAGCTGGGTGCAAAGTAGCCGCCGGCGCCGGAGGCGCCCAATCGCCCGCCCACGTCCACCGGGGACCACTCCACCTACGACACGTGTAGAGACGCGGCCCGTTTTTGTCCCCCCCCCCCCCTCGGAGAAAAGGGGAAGATGGGTAGACCCCCCGGTTTTCTAGAGTCTAAAAAGGTTCAACTACAAACGCATGCAGGTTCTGGAACTGCCAAAAAAGAGGAAAGGGAACATTGGATATACCGATTGAGAAGCGGTCATACAGTGGTTTTGCGCACATCGAACTGGACGACGATTGGCCCGAAAACATTCAACTGTGCGACCAGCATCTCTCTCTGCGCAAAAAGCAGGCAACCTTGCCGGAAGAACCCTTCACGGGGTATACCCTTCTTTTCTAGCGGTCATGAAGTGGTTGTTTAGTGGTTGTGTAGTGGTCACATAGTGGTTGTATACCCGTCCCGCCCAGTTTTCCCATGGCGGGTACGCTTTTGGGCGAATTTGAACCCTTGTACATACAACGACCGACTGTGTGAACCCATATGGTCATGCTCATGGTCCCCATAACAGGAATCCTTGCCAGAGTCTTCTAAAAGAAGCCCTAATTAGGAGCTGTTAGCGGCCAGTGAGTCTTTTGACCATGGCGCCGAGTTTGTCTAAACACTAAACCCGCAAAAACGGCCCCCAACAAACCCTCAAAAAAAAGAAAAACGCGACCCACATGTGCAAACCCCTGCACAAATAGAGAGGCTCAAGTTCATTCATTCAATCAGCACAACAACTTAGGCCATGTTCCTCTACCCTCTCATCCACAAACATGGAACCTCACCGGGGGGTCCGGGAGGAGTGGTTTCTTTTAAAAAGGACCCGCTTGTCCATGTAGTGGACCAAAGGGTAATTCCTTTGGTTGCTCCTGGCCTGGACGGTGCGCACTATCCAGATTTGTCCGGATTGAGAAATTGGCCGATTGTGAACCGGAAATGAGGCTATATGCGTCTTTTAAGGCTACCCTTTTTGGGCTTGGTTTGAGAAACGAAAAGGAAAGACCCATACACCGACCATGTGGGATCAAGTTGGTGCCCATTGACAAGTTCCAAAAGCATCCACCACCAAAGTTCCTTGTTCCCATGGACAGCACTTCGGCCGCGAGGGGGCGCATAAAGGGAAAAGCTCCGTGACCAAACATCGCGAGATCATGCCCAAGAGACCTATCGGAGAGAAACGCGGAAGATTTCGAGGTGTTTGGATTTGACTCCATCCAGTACTCTAGCAAAATGCGGTGGTTAAGTTCGAAACATTCCTAAACTAAGGGTGAAACAGGTTCAACACACACAGACACACAGACACACAGACACACAGACACACAGACACACAGACACACAGACACACAGACACACAGACACACACACACACACAGACACACACAGACACACAGAGACACACACAGACACACACAGACACACACACACACACACACACACACACACACACACACACACACACACACACACACACACACACACACACACACACACACACACACACACACACACACACACAGACACACACAGACACACACAGACACACACACACACACAGACACACACACACACACAGACACACACACACACACAGACACACACACACACACAGACACACACACACACACAGACACACACACACACACAGACACACACACACACACAGACACACACAGACACACACACACACACACACACACACACACACACACACACACACACACACACACACACACACACACACACACACACACACACACACACACACACACACACACACACACACACACACACACACACACACACACACACACACACACACACACACACACACACACACACACACACACATGTCCAAACTCGTCTATAATCAACCCTTACAACACTGCGCAAGATCCAAGCGATGTGGAGATCTTAAAGAAGAACTATGCTTCTAGAGAATACTTGGGTTTGTCTTAACTAGGTGAAGCCCCACAACTTGTGGTTCCCCTTTCCCCAAGGAACGTCAAAGGGCTCCCCAAAACGAGAAACATACTTCCATTCTTCTCACCCTTTCGTCTGGTGCCTTGTTGCCTTGTGAGTCCACTCCCCTCTCCTAGGTCCTCTAGTAGAGAGGTTAGAATAAGGGTACCCTTTTTTGTGTAGTCTATTTTAGTAGGGGAACCCTCCCAACCAAAAAAGAAACGATAAAAGGGCACGATTCTGTGGGACCTAGTCTCTCAAAACCGTTTCTAGAGGGTGTGGCTAGGAGAAATCGGGCCCCGGATGTTTTGGGGTCGCAACCCAGATGCGACAGCAGCTGCGGGGTCCGGAAGGCCAAGGGGGTTTCGGAGCTGCTTGAACTCAGATGCCCAGTGACCATGGGAAAAAAGGGCATCCTGTTTTGGCTGGTTGACTTTAAAGGGGAACCCTTCAAAAAGGAAAAAGGGCACCACGGGGCAACTGGGTGAACATCCAGAAAACTTTCATTTACACCCATCCCCTTCTGGCCATTTTCGAGCCCATATTCTTGCTGATGCTCAGTCTGACCGTTCCGGGTGGCGGGAACGAACCTAGGGATTCCCAAGGAAACCATGGGGGATGGCTTTTGTCGGGGTCATTCCCTCGTTTCCCGCTGAGAACCAGCATTTTTTTTTGGCAGCCAATTCCCGTTCCAACCTTAGCGCTGACGGGTCGCACTTCCACCACCTCAGTCATTCGGTTCGAACAGTCTGAGGGGTCCAACCAACTGTTTGAGCAATGTGGAAAAACAAAAAAAGGTTCTAGCTTTAACTTTCCCATTCTCGAAAATGTGAAGAAAACACTAGTATGGCTGTACCCTCCAAAATTAGGCCATTTGTACCTGAAGGGCCCGGAGCCATTTGGGTATTGACACCCCGAGGGTGCTGCATTGCACCTGTCCCATGCTCAGAAATTCTCCCAAAATGGGCCGGGAGCCCGACGGGACAAGAGGGCGAGTGAAGAGCACTGAGAATCAACCCTCATTGCTTCATTTTTCTCTCCAACCTCGCGGCGTCCCTTCAAAGCGTTCCAGGGCCTCGTTGAAGCATTCGCACAGAACAATGCGGTCTTTTACTCAAGACATTTCAGAACACTGGGTAGGTGACCAAGCAGAAACATGGGTGGTTTCCTTTTGGTTTCCCGAATTAGCAACCTGAAAAGGGTACCCTCGAACACTCACCCACTCAGACACATACACACACGACAAAGCCAATGCACCTGGGCACACACACACACAGCACTGGCTTTTGGTTGAAACGAACGGACCGGGAATCGGCCCCGTTCGATTGACCGGGCTTTTTGCTGAGCCCGCCTTGGGCTGGCAAGTTCGGCATGGACTGAACATGCTGTTCCAAGGTCTAAGGACCTGAGTGAAGCCCTTTGACCCCATGGCCATTTTTGGGTCCGAAAGAACGGGGAACGAGCCAAATCCGAGTTTTGGTTGCTGAGAGCGGGTGCGCTTCTATGATCCGCAATGAAACACATCTTGGCTCAGCTTGGGGTTGTCTCAAAGGGAAAGCCACAAACATCGGCACAGTGTCCGATTGGCTTTCAAAAAAAATAGCCCCATGAGTACAGTACCTTCCAAAAAAAGAAAGACACAATCACCCTCTTTTCAGGCTGGAGATTGGCTCAGCCATCAATGCACACGATGGCACACTTCGTGAGTTCTGTCTCATCTCAACTGACCATACGGACAATACTTTACCCAAGCCTCAAAATTTCACCGGTCCACACGAATCCAAGGCAGTGCCCCAAATAAGGAAACAATTTTACGAGACTGGCACTTGCGGCCCTTGTGGCAGGTGCACTGGCAGTGGCACTGCCTCAAATAAACTAGGTCCTCCAGTAGAGAGGTTAGAATAAGGGTACCCTTTTTTCTGTAGTCTATTGTAGTAGGGGAACCCTCCCCCAAAAAAGGGCAAAAGGGCACTACTGGGGCACCTAGTAAAGAAACAAATTCACGAGCTCGCCGGGGTTTGGGGACTGGCACTCGCACGATGACTCAGGGCGCTGCGTATCCGATGGCCAAGGCCAAGGGCGCCCAACCCACGTGAATGCACCCATGATCCTGGCGCTCAAACGAAATTCAACGAGTTCTGCTCATATGAAAAGCAAGCGACACCGAAACGGTCCGAACCGTGCGTTCTGCAAAAACGTGAAATAACAAATAATACAAAGATGTATCATAATAATGATAATAATAATAATAAATCGAGTCAAGGAAAGGCCCCAACTTGCTGTTGTTTACAAATAAACATTTCTTCCCACAAATGACTCAAGGCCATTACCTCTTGTGGGTCGGATTACTCCGGCCCAGCCAAGGGCGTGACAAACACCACACAGTACCCGCCAAACCGAAAGTCCAAAAACTAAAAGTGACTCAACTCCGGAAAGTGACTAAAGTGACTAAAGTTCACAACCTGGTCCAAACGCAAAAAAGTGACCCAAGTTTGTGTTGCCTTGAGGCACCCCTGTACGTTGTGAAGGGACACCACAAGGAGGGCAAAACCCGATGTTGACACGCAAATGTGACTTAATGGACAGTGGGTGGTCTAGCCCCAAGATACCCCCAAAATCGGCTTCGGTTTCCTGGTGGGTTTTGTTTTCTATCAAAGGCCAACACCGGGCTGACCTTGGCTTTTAGGGTACCCCCGAAACAGGGCTTCGGTTTTCCTGGCGGTTCCTTGAAAACCCACCAAAAGTCTAGGGGTACCTTCCCCATTCTTTCCAGGGATCCTTCTTTCTAGCAAACCTCCGGAAGCCGAGGGAAAACGGATCCGGTTCATGGAAAGAACGATGCTTGAAAAGAATGGACCAGAAATCAACCCCCAGAAAAAAAAAAAAAAAAAAAAAAAAAAATCCGGCGCTCCCCGCGCTCCCACACCGCGCCTCGCCCGGCGAGATGGTGGGCGCGGGGATGGCCGGAAGCCGCGCCTGGTGGTCGGGCGCCAGGAAACCCAAGAGGTTTGGTATGGGCTTGCGGTTGGAACTTGTTTGCTTGCAGCGCTAAAAGATGAACAGACCCTCCATTTTATTGATTGATTTATCTCGGACCTTCTGTCGAACGCGCACGGCGAGCAGTGCGGCGCCCGGTCTATTGATTGATTTAAAAGGAACCAACAAAAACAACATGCCAACAACACTGATTCCATGCCCCTTTGGTTTCCCTATCACAAGTGATAGGCTGTTCAGCACAACAGGAACTTCGGTTGAGTGAAAGATGGAAGAGTTCCCTGTTTGGCAAGGACAGGGGATGACTCAACCAACACGGGGGATTTGCGCCATCTGCTTTCACTCAACTGTAAGGGGCTTGATAATTTAGTTTACGAAGGTGGGAGGGTTGGGCTTGTTCAAACAATTGCATTGCCGGCTCCAAAAGGGTTCTGTCAATCCAAACACATCCCTCCTCCGCTTGCACCACAGGCCCACCCCCCCTTTGGGAGCTTTTTGGGGTGGGAAAAGAAGGGTTGAACACCTGAATGAATTTCAACGCTCCGGTCCTCCCGATTTTCACCGTGCAACAAGAAACAAATACAATTTCCCTAGTGGGCATGGAAACCAATTGAGTGCTCCTCATTGTTGGGACATTGAAAAGCCCCGCGTGCTACTGGACACCGGTGTCAGTGTGTCTCCGAATCTCTTTGAAGCAACCTTTCAAAAAGATGGCCCCGACCAACAAACGAAAAACCCCAAACTTTGGGCTTAACCCCTCGTAGCTCCGCCCGTGCGAAGCCAGTCAGCCTGGTCTGCAGTGTGCGGGCCTAAGCATTGTCGAGGCGACTCGGGGACACTTTGCCCCGAACGAAAAGCATATCTGGGCTGTCCTCAGATCCCCCGAGAAAAAAAAAGAAAGAACACTTTTAGTGGGTTGAATGGACATCCCCACTACAACAAATTACCGGGATGGCTGGGAACCACCAAGATAGTGTTCCAATGGTCAAGAGGGGCATGGACAAAATGCAGAGAACATAGGCATAGCTACCAGCCACGACCTTTGAAAACAGGAGGAATCACACATCGCCTGAGCAAATGGGATGGGCGCCCTGGATCGAATCGGGACTTGGACCCACAATGGTTTTGCTTTGGCTTCCCATTCCAACGAACCACACAACTGGTACCCTCAAACAGCAGAACCCCATAATAGGCGTTTGGGTTGATGGGAACATCAGGCAACAAAGAGCTCATCCCCATTTGAAGGCCACGTTGATCCATTCTGCGCTTTCACCTGCTTCAACTGGGGCAAAGAGGCTGTCGGCTTCAAGGATAGTCTTCAGAAGCCGAAGGTGCCAGCATTCTCCGCTCTCACTTGCTTGTGCTCAGGGAATGAGAAATGGAATGACGAGAAAAAAAACCATCCAACTGGTGGTTTCCTTTAATTAAGGGGACCAAAGCCTGGGTTCATTCCATTTTTTGTTCCCTGCCTATCGCACCAAGCTCAGTCCGAGCCTGACAGCATTGGACCCATTGGAGACTCAGCCGCTTTCCAATGGACCTAGGGGGGCTGGGGGCCTATCTCCTGAGCCAATTCTCACTTGCCCGAAGGACCCAGAAACCTAAATTGGCTAAACCTATGTTCACCTTTTGGGCCATGACGAAAAAAATGGGTGCCAAAAAACGGCAAAACCAAAAATGGTCAGATCCGCTCGCTTCGCTTTGAAGACCTGAGAATCGAAGACCCCGACCGCCCGACAGCCCGACAGCCCCCCAAGGTAGGCCGCTGGCGGGTGGGCGCCCGGTTCAGCAGCATGGCGATGCGCGTCTCCTCACTTCAGAGCCGAGGGGATGGACGGGCGGGGGAAGTCGTGCACTGCGGGCCAATAGGTACCCCAAATGGAACAAGAGGTATGGAATAGACTACAAATGGAACCAACATATACCGCAAATGGAACCAAAATACTACAAATTTAACCGGGTAGTATACTCCAAATGGACCGCAATCCGGGTATGGAACCAAATGGAACACTACAAATTGCGATCTTCTGGTGGTCTAGCCTTCACCCATACCCACATAGAATTAGGCGACTGTGCCGTGCCAGACTGCTCGTGTTCCAGGGCTTGCAAATACTAGCCTGCCGTAAAAACCTGTGACAAATCAGCACCCAATATTGCCGGGGAGTATGAATTCAATCCTTTCAAGCATGGCCAATGGGGCTACACAGAAAACAACATATTCGGACTTATGTTCGTAGTTAGCCAACCCTAACATATAACACGACTCATGAGACTGCGGCCAATAGAAGCTGACAGCAGGGTGTTGGAAGACTACTTGATCTCTTTTTGGGGAAGGCCCTGATCCACTTTCATTGCCGGAAAGAGGTGTAGAAATTGACTCTTGGGTAAAGATTATCGGAACTGCGCACAAAGCAAGCAAAGGATGGTGAACAAATCCTAAGGGTTGGCTTCACTTGGCCCAAACCTATTTACTAAAATGATCTTTCCAAAGACCGGAAACATGAAAATCGATGGACACCGACAAAGATCCATGTCCGGATTTGTTCGGGTGAATTCGATGTGCTTCGCACCCGAACTTGAACGCCCCCATTTTCTGATCATGCAACGGAAGTTCCGCGAGTCCGTGAGGCTCCGGTTTCAGGCATCCTGGAAAAAAGCGAACATATTTTCAGTAGGGACACATTCCCGTTAAAACCAACAGGGGAAAATGAACAAGATTCTTAAGCAAATGGAAGGTTTGGCTCAACATTCCACAACCATGCTGAATTGGATGCTGAGTATCCGCAAAGCTCAGGTGTTGGAAGGCAAATCTGAGTGTCTATGGGCCGACAAATAGGACATTTGCATGGAACACACCACGTGCAAATGTCGGATCCGCAAAGATGCCCTTCCCACACGCTGCAGAAAACCCATATTTGGATCCGAATGACTGAAACTGGGCTTCGGCAAAACCAGCTGAGCTGAAAAGATATCATCCTACTTGTTTTTTGTCTATAGAAATCCAACTAAACAATAAGCAGAGTGTCCGGTCTGGAAGCACATCTAGGTAGAGTTGGCTCTATGGGCGTGAGCAGGGTGGTTACCCCAATAAGAGGGTTTCCGTCGAAACCATCCAAGTGGGCTCAACCTGTTTGGAAACTTGAAACCTGGATTCGGAAACTTGGTGCGAGGTTTCGGAAAATCGGTTTCGGATACGTGGAGCGCTGACTCGGAAACCTGGATTCGGAAATTTGGAGCGCGAATTCGGAAACTTGGAGCACCTGGGCGTGAGTTCTGATCGTTTGGGCGCACTTGAGCGGGTGTTATGCAGACTGTGCGGGTGCACTTGAGCGGGTGTCCCCATCATTTGGCAGGCAGATATGCACTGCTGCGCAGGAGCGCTTGAGCACATGCTCTTATCATGTGGCAGGCAGATATTTAGTGCTCCGCGGGTGCGCTTGAGCGGGTGTTCTTATCACTTAGCAAGGAGATATGCACTGCCGCGCGGGTGCACATGAGCGCGCATTCTTATCATTTGGCAAGCAGAGATGCAGTGCTCGGGCGCACTTGAGGCATGCAGATATGTGCTGTCATGTGGCAGGCAGATATGCAGTGCCGAGCGGGTGCGCTTGAGCTGCTCTGGTTCGGGCCAAGAAAGTGTCCAACTCGCGCGAACCAAGCGTCTGAATCAGGGCCCCAAGTTTCTGAGTCAACATTTCTGAAGCGGAGGCCCAAGTTTCTGAAGCGAAGCGTGAAGCTTCTGCATCGTGGCAAGTTTCTGAATCGGTAAATACTGGTGGCGAGTTTCTGCGAAGCCCATTGGAAGTTCACCCTCGGTCCGAATGAGGATCGCCAAGGCATTCCATCCCGCAGATCGAACTAAGAGGGTTCGTTCCCCCTACCTCAAACCACCAGCCCCAGGGAGAAATGGGATACAAACGTATAGTTCTCAAACTATATATTTGCTTTTTGGTGGGTACCATTTTCAGCTTGATTTCAAGTGAACCAGGGACACACCGCCAGTTGGGGTGTCGCCCAATGTTAACACGCACACACACCTAAACATTAATATATATATATATACACATATATCCCTTGCTCTGTTGCTACTGCTGCTGCCTCCGCTGCTACTGCTTGTTGTTCTAGTGTGTTCTGCTCGTCTTCGGAAACCATTGGCCTGATTAAACCGACAAGCACGCGACTGAGATAGCCTCAGCTTAACCTTTTGGGGCCACCTGAATCCCCAAGTAGCCACTTTGTTCCAGCCACTTTACCCACGAGTGGCCCATAATTTGATGCAAAAGTAGCTGGAAAATACTTTGGCCACTGGATCCGGATCCAGGGAATAAAAGGTGATCACCTTTTCGGGCCAAACACGAGAAGCTAAAAGGTCAAAAGGTCGATTCACTTTGGGCGGCCGAGAGTTTTTGATCCATCGCCATGACTCGCGTGAAGATCATGAAGGGCAATTGGGGAGTTCAGTTCCCAGACGCACCCAGGACGTTTCTCAAAATGGTGGAAACCCTTTTGGCGCTGAAAGAGAAACCACAGAAACCGATTCAAGTTCGCTTGGCCCGATGTTCACATGTGTCATGGATAACACAAGCCATAGTAAGCTCACTTTGATTTGGATTCACATGTGTCATGGATAGCACAACCCACAAAAACCTCACTTTGGAGGAGACCTCGGTTTTCCGGGGCCCCTTTAAAGAACCCTCCCCGCTCGGGGGATCCGATCGCTTCGAAGCCGGGATCCTTGTCGTCCGCGAAGGCATGAGCGGAGCGCCCGAGAAAGGTCGCCACGTCGCGGAGGCTCGGAAATGCAATGGACCTCGCACGGCAGGCGACCCAGTTTTTTGAACCTGGAGTCTCCATGACCCTTGAAAAATGGTTGGTCATTACCCCAAGTAATGGGGTCATGGACCCATTTTTAAAGGGTCATGGAGACTCCAGGAACGTCACACCAAAAGGAACATGAGTAGAGTTAGGCAACTTTTGAACCAAGTTGAAAAGGAAGGTAAGTGATGGCCATGGTAGGGGTTGAACATCGAGTCAGACCCCACCCCTATGTGGCACCAAGTAAAAGCTTCACTACCTGGCAGAAGCAAACATCAGTGGGTTTTGGGCGCGCAACGGGGTTGTTTCCTTGTCCATTCTTTTCAACCATCGTTCTTTTCAAGAACCGGATCCGTTCTCCCCGGGTTTCGGAAGGTTTTCTAGAAAGAGGGATCCCTGGAAAGAATGGGGAGGTACCCCTAGAATGAAGAGAGATAGGCAACCAATTATATGTAGATTTTATTGTTTGCTTCGCTCCGAGTCACCGGTACCATGTAAAATGTATCCGAAGTCTACCAGAGAGAACTCACTTTGAAGGACAAAACAAAATGTTTAACAGCACCAACCTATAGAGTTTAGGGTTCCTCTGCGCAATGGCCCCGGGTAGATTTCCATGGGGGAACAAGAATTGGCGCCCCCTTTCGGTACTTGCTTTGAAGACGCTGCCCCTATCCGACAAAAAAAACGGAAAGCAAGGGCACGTACGTGATTTTGGGCAGCCCGTTGTCCAACAAAGTCAGAATAACCCCACTGGGTGTCTGGGGAAGAGGCTCCAAAGCAAGCCGCAATCGGAAGTGGGAGAAACACACACCGAGGAAGATCTATTTCCCCGGTGCCGAGATCGCCTGGGTTTGAACTGTGCCCAGCAAAGTGACCCAACATGTCAAAGTGTCAAACATCCATCGCCTTTCCAAGATACTTGCCGGGTTGCTCCGAATCTCATGGCAAAAGGGGTCTCGCGCTGAGAGAGTCACTGAATTCTAGGGGGTCCAAAATCTCTGGTTGAAGCAAACCAGAGGGAAACCAACTACTGTAAGTTCGGCGTTGCTTGCTAGTACTCTCAGGTTCTGTTTCACAAAGGGAAACCAATCATTTTGAGTTCAGAGATGCCTCTAACATGTTAACTCTTTACCAAAGCTAAAATAATGAATGATACCGTATACAATACAAAGAAAGGGTTCAAATGGCAAAAGCTACCCTGGATTGATGAATCCATTCCACCCATAGAGAGTGCCTCTAACGAGTGAAAAGCTCTGTTAAAAAGGGGGAATGCGGGGGTCCCATTCTCACTTGCCAGCACCATTTTCATAGGTGAAGCTGTTGGAACCTCGACTAAATATGCCACCAAACCGGTAGTTTTCTTTTGGCTACATGTAAAACCAAGCAAAAGGGGAGTACGTAATTACCCTTAAAACAAAGGAATGACACCCATATGCAAAACAGGAAACCAAAAAGATCCAAATATTCCCTCCATGTGCTTAAGTCCCATGGACAATAACAAGCACATCTCCAGTAGCGACAGACTCCCTTTGAACCAACAGGGTAAAACAAGAAATACCACTTTTTTCCAGCCGCTTTAGCTTCACCTGCAAGCTGCTGCACCTTACCATGGACAATAACAAGCCAACAGGGGAAAACAACACATACTCTTACCTGAATCCCCAGTTGCCCTTCTTTTCCCAGCTACTTTTGCCAAATCATGGTAAAGTTTTAAAGCGGCTGGAAAAAAGTGGGCTACTTGGGGATCCAGGCGGCAAACGGCAGGCAAACGGACTCGGCCCGCAAGCAAATCCTTGGCTCTGGACGCAAAGCTGCAGCCCCGCGCGTGGGCCACCAGGCCCTGAGCCGACGCCCGGGGGGAGGGTGGGACCCGGGGGAGGGAGGCGGGTGGGACCTGGGACCCAATTCCAGTTATCCAGTCTGCCCCGAAGGAAATGCAACCCTGAATGGAATTCCAGGGGTCACCCCCCTCCCCCGATTCCTTATTTAAAGGGCTGGGGTAAGTGGTGGGTTAAAGGGACTCCCGTTCAAGACGGAACCAGTTCATGGCGCCCTCGAACCTGGTGATCTGCCTGATCGAATAGCCTAGCTTCGCCGCCGCAACGAAATAATTGAGATAGTGTTTTCGAGTTCGTTCGTTGTCGTCGGTATGGATTCTGTCCGCCCGAGATGTATTTGAAATGAGCGTCTGCGGATCAAGGACTGTAATTCCAGCTGAGCGATGAAGTACTCTGGCGTGTCCTTCCATTTGCTTCTTGTAGGACTCCGTCAGGCCGTAGGCTTCGAAATCCCTGGGCACAATCAGGACGATCGCGGCGGAGCCGATCCCGAACCGTCATGACGGCCTTCGCGTTCCGCTCGATGATCACAACCACATGTTCTGACTTTGATCACCCCCAGAAAGAGTCAAAATAATGACCCCAGTGTGGATGGGCGAAATCCTTTCGCACCACCTAGGAAAACCCCGGAATGATGAATGCCAATAAACAGTGATTTCAACCATGGTGTCCAAGTGGTGAAGCATTCGTCCATCCACATGTGGCATGGTGACTCTTTTTGTAGATTCAAGGCCCATGCTTTATCTACTTAGTGGCTTTTTCAGCACTATCAAAGTCACCTACCCAGGCTTCTGACTTTGAGAACCCCCAGAAACAGTCAACATTATGATGTTGGCATTTGGATTGACACTTTGTGCCGAAGAAAGGTTTGAACCAATGAAGATCAACCGCGCTTTGTCAAGCGCCAATGGCTGTTTGGGCGCTACATTGTGGGCAATTTACTCTTGCCAAACAGGACATAAGGGGACCTTCATTGATGAGCTTCATCGGTGAGTCCGTTAGCAGCGGAGCCACCGCCATTGAGCTTTGGTTCTACCATCGTTGTACAGGTTTATATTTGGTTGATATGGGGACCGCCAAAATGGCTGGTTTGCTTTTGGCTTCGCTTCAAACCAACCAGAAGGGATACCCTCACAAACAGACAGACCTATGAGCTTTACCCAAAGGGGGTACGCCTTCACCTAATGCAACTCACGGAGGAGTCCTGGAACTTTGCATAGGCACTCAAGTGGAGGGAAGCAACTCCCAGTTTCTGACTTTGATAACCCCCGGGCTCATGTTTAGTTTGTTTGCAAAGCAACAAAATGCCAAAGTCATGACACTAGTTTTAAAAGCACATTGAGAGATAACTATAGCAAATAATGAAGGTCTCTTTGTCTTCTTTCCCAAAAGACGCGACAGGGAGTAATTAAGGGTCCAATCACAAGGGCCCACTATAATTTTCCTAGACAGAGGACTTTCACTTCGCTTTGGTCAGCTGCAGTAGAGAGCCACCCCCATTCTCCCGCCTTGGTTGCTCCTTGCCTCAGATAAGCGGGATTCTTCGACCCTTGCAAGGTGGACAGGGCTGTGGAAGATTTTCTTGTATCACAGAAGTGGGGATAAATCATTGATCACACAACCCTGACAGCAACTCTTTGTGTTGTGGGGCTTTCGTTTGGTGGTGCTGTCCAGGGCTGTGGGGAATGACCACTTCTGTGATACAACAGAAAGGGCTTCCCAAAGACTATTTTCTTCATATAAAGGGGGATTCCCTTGTATCACAGAAGCGGGGAGAAACCCCTTGATCCCACAACCCTGGTGCTGTCGGTCTCATTTGGTGCTCTTTAAGCTTCTGGTTTCGGAATTCAGGTGGCGCTGTCGGTCTCATTTGGTGCTCTTTAAGTTTCTGGTTTCGGAATTTCAGGGGGTCTTCTGAAATTTTGGAGGGCTGTGGCTGGGGTTGTGGATTGCTTTTAAAGAGAAAACCTCCAGGAGCGGACCCCACACCTTGTGTTGCCCAGTCGCCCTTTCAAGAGTTCACCGTTTAGAACAAAATTAGCTCCTCTTGGAAAAGGGGCTTGTGCATTCCATGTACTACAAGATTGCTAAAGACATACCAACGTGGGCGCATCAAAGCCGTTTTTTAGATGCTTGTTGTGGAAGGATATACAAAACCATCTTTGGTTTTTCCATGACAAACATAATTAGACAGGTTGCACACAACACCGGCAGCCGGATTTCGAAACTGCGAAGCGCACCGTGTGTGTTGAGATCATATCAAAGGCCAGAACTCAAAAGAATTGAGCAACCTCGACACCCGTTTCGCCCATTGACTTCTGATTCTACAAACACGGTAAATAACTTGTATGAAGCCAACCGAACCAAGCGGCCTTTCGGACTCTTTGAGTCTCATGCAACCAGAAACAAGAGAGAAACCAACAAGTCGGCTATTTGACAATGAGTTTCTCCATTTTGTCAATCAATGTGCACTTTGGGAATTTGGTGAGTTCTTACGCGACACTTGGCAAGTGCGTCCCTTCTCATCCGTTCCAACAATAGACAAGCATGAACATAACGATGATGAGGATGAACATGATGAGGATGAACATGATGAGGATGAACCTGACGAGGATTAATAATGATCCTGGAGTTCATGATCACAATACGGGTATGATACATCCTGACCGTTGTTCGTTCTCAATCTTTCATATCTCAATGCAGCCTGGCCTATGCCAATGAATCGCGGCGGATGCCTTACATATTGCCAAACAACACGGAGAAGCAAACAAGGCATGTGCCCCCAAAAAAAACACGGGGGTTGATTTTTCGGTTCGCAAGTGAGATCCTCGAAGCCCAAGTTTGTGAAGACTTTGCCGACGCAAACATCCATCCAAACTCTGAAACCAAGCGGTTTCAGCTAAGAACGCTCCAAAACACGATTGTTCAGCTGGAAAGGTAGGGCACCCCTCGGAGCCCCCTGCACAGGCCGCCACAGTTCCCGATACGTTCCTCTGGTAGGTGTTGGACAGCCTACATGTGGGACTTCTATACCCCTCGGATGGTCGCTTTGACTCTCCCAACTCGAAAGGAGATTTTAAGGGAAGCCATAGGGAAGCCCTCCAGAAAGGAAGGGCACTGGAGGTCTGGGAAGCTTGAAGGGTTGCACCCAGGGAAACGGCCCACAACCGGAAAATTAACTTCCTGAGGGCCCAAAACAAGTCCAAGCCTTTTTCACTACTTAAATGGTCTCCCCCAAAAGTCAGTGTCCAGGAAAACTCAGGGAGTGAGTGAAACATTGTTGAACCACTCAAAGATTGCAATCGAGAGACGATGGTGTTTTTCATTTTGGGAGTCGGCCTGTTGAAACACACGACAAGCACATCGCGGAACCCCTCATGAACACCTACCATGGTGTGCCCAAAGTATAAATAATCTAAAGGGCCGCCCATGGGTTGCATGGCCCATATCGGCAAATACTTGCAGATCTGTTGCTTCATATTTCGTTACAACACGCGAACAAGTTTAGGAAGACCCCAGCCTTCACTTGCCCGGGTTTGGATTTTGGCTCACCTCACTGGATCCAATGGTCCAAGGGACTTGTTGAAGAATCGCATGAGCTCCGTCTCAGTGACGTCGATTGAAAGCCCAGACAAGACCACCTGGCTTTTCCGAGCGAGGGCTTGTCCAAAGTTGAATGCACTAATCTCTGTGGGTGTGTAATTTCCGAGGTGCCATTTTCACCTTGGTTTTAATCCAAGCTAGCAAGAAAAAAAAACACGCTTTTTGGGGGGGTTCCCCCTATTTGGACACATACCCATGCGAAGCTTTCCGCGAGTGGTTTAACCATCAACTTGTGTCTTTGACACCAAGTGGTCACCAATTCAGCGACAAGGAGCTCATAGATGTTTGCGTTCGGAACCCTTTCGGAAGTTGCGTTACCCAAAGGGAGACCTGACCCCTGTTCGAATTTCCTGGCTTAGTAACAACAAATTTCTTCTGAATCTCTGCTCCATGATTGGAGTTAGGCCCAGTTGTAGAATGTATATTTTATTGTTTGCTTCACATGGAGTCACTGGTAAAATGTAAAATGTATCCTAAGTCTACCCCAGGCTCTATTGGTCTACTCATGAAATAGCTTTGGACCCAGGGCAGGGCCACAAGCAGCGCTCGCCTTGCTGGTGAAGGCATGCAGGTCCAAGCACAAGGGCGCCTTTGCTTCGCCTCAGACTGCCAAGAGACAATGACCCTGATGGACAAATCCAGCGGACCGGGATTGCTTAATTACTTCTCAGGGTGGTGCCCTAAGCAACCCTTGTGCTTGTCAAAATTCCGTATCTGAAGAGGGGGGGCGACAAACGCTTCGCCAAGTAAAGTGCTCTGATACCAGGTGACAGACCAGGCGTCTGATGAAATGCCGCTTTCTTTCTGATTGTTGGTTCTGTTTTGTTTTTTTTACGATTGTACTCCTTTGATATTCTGCTGGGGTATATCCACGAAAGCAACCCACATGTTTCCGAAAATCGGCTGAATTCTTCTCTTTTGGGGTGACTCCAGGTGGCTCTTGACAGGGTGCAAAGTGCTTTGGGACCCGGCAGCTTCCCTGAAACCCTTCCGTGGGGTAAATTTGATGCCACAACCCAGTCCAAACCGACAGCCGCAGGCCTGGTATCGCTTCACTCTTCGTTGCTTGGGACGAGTTTTTTTTTCGGGGAACCCTCCTTTAAGGGGAAACCAACAGGTACCGTTGCCATTTGGGGCTCCCCTAAACAAGACACACCCAGCACGAACCTTGGTGGCTGTAACGACCCCTCTGCAAACAAAAACTTGCTGGCCCAGTTCGGAAAATACATGGAACCCTACCAGTTTCCATGTGAATTGGTGGGAGGGCAAAGTCTACTAGGTCCTCCAGTAGAGAGGTTAGAATAAGGGCACCCTTTCTTCTGTAGTCTTGTTTTAGTAGGGGAACCCTCCCAACCAAAAAAGAAACGGTAAGGACCTGCGCCTAGCTGGGGGACCTGAGTTTTGCAGCTGCCCCTCCCCCACTGTGTGGGCCTCCGTGCCCCCTGGGCGCGGCAAGTGGATGCGGCAACAGGAAAGCACCGCGCCAAAGGGCCGGTCCGTGCTCGCCAGCCTATGGCAGCTTGTCAAAGGGGGAAAGCTGCTTACCAATGTGCCTCTATGCACATACGTACATGTATATATATATATAATATGTATACTATATATAAATGTATTCATTTCATCTAAAACACGATAATATATATATATATATATATTTATGTATGTGTATGTATATTGGTACACATGAATACAACATGTGTACATATTGACGTGTGTACATATTGACGTGTTGTGCTTGTTTTACATATGTGTTAATGTGTTGATGCATGTATGCATGCGCATGTTTATGGTGTTATACAGATTCGCATATATATACACATATACATACATGACATGTTTGCATACATACACAACACGTGTAGATGCATCAACACATATGTAGTGCATCTGTTGGTACGTATACACATATGTTCAATTCCACACGAATATACCTGTATACCAAGACAACACCTTAAGTACCCATGTATACATATAGATGCAAGGGCATACTATATACATGTATGCATATGTATATAATATGTACACACCGGGCAAACACCGGGTTGGCTCCCGTATGTAATATACACATGGAAATGCGTTCATTTAGGGCCGATATACGGCGAGGTGTGTCATGGAATAAGGATTCTCTTTCCCCAAGGCCTCCCAGTGACAAAGTCACAAACAAACGGACCCCAAATTTGACGCACAAGCAAACCAAACTCTTCTCCGAACAGCAACTGGAAAAAATCACCATGTTTTCCTTGTCAAAAGACGCAAAGATCGGGGCAAACAGAACCGCGGAATACATTTCGGCCATGGCTCATTTTTATTTGCGAAGGTTTGGCGCCTCAATAACCTTAATAATCACCTGGCCGCCAGGCCTGATGGCCCGGAGTTTCGGCGCGTGGAAGCAGACAAGGATTTGGGTTTGAGCGGGTGTCAAAATAGGGGGACCCAAGCATTTGTTCCCTCTGCCTCCCCGTTACCTGATAAACATCTATCAAGCAGAAGGAGCCACACCATGCTGTACTCAGTACTTTCCAAAATGACGCTTTTTTGCCAGTCAAACATGTTTGGGGACCCAGTGAAGTGACCTTTGGGGGGCCCAGCGACTTTCGGCGAGCGGTTTTTATCCGGTGACCAACTTTCTGAGGCGCAGGGCACCACGAGTTTGGCCTGGCGAAGGCAATGGTGCTGGTTCGATGGAATGAGACTTGGACTTTTCAGGAAAGACCAAAAACCCCGATTTGGTTCCTAGGAATCCCCAAAACCAGTTCGAATCCTTCCGATTCACCCGGAAGATCATTGCATCAACCAACACTTTGGGGGCCCCCGTATTGAGACAAACCCATGTTTAACTTTGGAAACCAAAATGAATCCGGTGCTATTCTGAGGAGTCGATTTTGGTTTAAACAGGGATCACTGGATTTCCCCATTTAACAAGTTGCATTGCACTTGTCCATTGAAACGATCGCCACTTTTGGAGGTTCCAAGAAGGGAACTGGAGGAAACTCTGAAGGGAAACCAGGCGAAAACCAAAGGCCATTGTCAGGAGTGTCCAAAGTATTTTGACATCGCACACCGAATTGAATGGATTACTGTGAAAAAAACCTGACAGGTCCTGGAAAACGCAGGCGACTCGATAATGTCACGTGTCACGGAGACTTGCTTCGAAAGCGGTCTTCAAGGGGGGATATGGGTGTCTCGATTTGGAGTGAATGGCTTTGTGTGGTTTGTAAAGGGAAACCAAAAGGATGGGTGCCCAGGATATGCTTTCCGAGAAGCGATCCGGAAAGGACTCAGTTTCCAGCACCCAGATTTTCCTAAGCATCACCCAGCGAAGTGCAAATCGTGCTCAGGTTTGCCCCAGAGTTGGCCGGGTTGCTTTCGCGCTGTTTTCCCTATCTGAAGATGCGGTCCACAATGTCACAATGTGAGAAACCCTCTCATTCTCAGAACCCCTGTCGGCTTCCCAGGATTCAGAAAATAAGCCATTCACCAACCGAAGGCATTTTGAGAGGACCCGTTCTTGAGTGGGGCTTCTGTACCACTATTTGTCATGTCCCCAAGACACGCGCCTCCCCCTCTAACCCCTTGGCTTGCCCCCCGCCGCACGAAACCCAGGCCTCTGGAAGCGCCCCGCGCTCCGGCTCCTGAAGGTACGCGCTCGAAGCGAGCTATCACAGCACCCAGCTGGGGCACATGTGTATTTATATACATATACTTATATACATGTATATACATATATACATGCACGTGTATACGTGCGGCTGTCTAAACTCCTTGTATGTCGCAATGGACACCGCGAATTTGGAAGGCCCCCATCGCTTCACACATGTTTCCACGTTTGGTTGTTCCAGGGCATCGCTCTTACGTATGCTCAATTACGGGTCTGGAAGACAGGGCGCAGAGCTGGTTAAAGGCAGGCACTGCCTTCTTCTCCGCTGCTGCTTTCTGCGCCCTCTGTAATCGTTTTTGATACTTGTGGACAGCTTCTTCCATGTCTGGCAACTAAATGGGCAACTGTTCAACTTGGTGACCTTTGGGCATCGCTGAGGGCATCGTTTGGGCATCGCTTTGGGCATCGCTTTGGCGCCCATCTTCTTTGAAAAATGGTTTCTGCTTCAAGCATGGCCACCCGGAGCTTCAAACAGCGGCAACCGAGAATGGTTTCTCTTCAGCCAGAAGCTGCCAAGTCCTGATGTAGTGGGTTTCTGTTGTTTGGAGGGTCTCCATTCCGGCTTGAACCTCCACGATCAAGCGAAGCAAGCAACTTCACTCTGCAAAAGTTAATGTATGCAAAACAAGGGCATCGTTTTTGGGAGGTCCCCATCGTTTCCCACAGGAATCTGCACTTTCGGAAAACTGATGTCCACCGAATACATATCTCCATTGACGTGAGTTTTGACGGTTGCTCATATATATACAATGTGTATATATATATATATATATACAGTATTTGTGTATGTGCCCAAAGCAAACATCACCGAACATCACCCAAGGAACATATATTGTCTGTGAGCTGTGTGTGCGTGTGTGCGTGTGTTTTTTAGTGCATTGTTTCCTTTTTGACAAAAAGGTTGAGGGCATTCTGGTTCGCCAGGTGAATGTTCACCCAGGAATAACAAACCCTCAATTGATTGATAGGGGGTGTGTTCCATTGTAGAAGGCCTCCTTCACATTTGGGGGAACCCCCGTACCACTCCAATGGGTTGGGACCATCTTCCCTAGATCAGTGGATCAAAGGCAAACGGCAGACGAGCAAACATATTCATTTCTTGGCGGGCAAAATGCTTCAAGCAAAAAATGTGTGATCCAACTGTCAGCTTCCCTTCAATTGGTTCTTTGGAGCCCGGTGGTTTGGTGGTTTGGGAGCGGCCTGAAACTGGTAACCACGCAGTTGTACGCAAAATCAGCAAGGACCACCATCCACCAGCTTCTATATTCATTGTACCCTCCATTTGCTCGAGTCCCCTGGAAACACAACTTGACTATATGTCCGGTTGTGATAGATTCCCTTCAAAAAACACGGCGCAACAAACAACATATGAAAGGTGCATCATTGGTTGCCAAAAACCAAGCCGTTTAGGGCCTGAGCACCTGTCATGAAAACAAACTCCCCGGCCACATTGCCGAGTTTCTGCAAGCGCAGCCCAAAGAAGTAGTGAATCAACGTGCCATCTTTGAGGGAGGTTGCTTGAAAAGGAAAACAACAAAGAAACCAATCATGTTGGGATTCCCAGTTTAGAGTCAAAACTACATCAACAGCAACAAATGGCGGTTGTTCCGAGCCACAAACCCTTCTGGCTCGGCCAGTTCGAGCCATATCTGGTCTTCTTGCCAAACGGGAGCTGCCAGTGTTCAATGTCAGTGATCGAAATGCTACACCAAGTGGGACGGTTCTGCAAGAATGACCTAACCAAACCGAAAGCCAGAAGCAACATCACTAAACTTTCACCACAGTCCCGTTCTCACCAACGGCCATCACATGCCATCACGAACCCCCCCCCCATTTTTGAGGCCAAACGGAGCCTAGAGGATGGCCCCTGTTCCCAATTTCCCGCTTGCCACATGGTCCCAACCTACCAACCCCGGCCTTCGCGGGTTGCAACGCCAAAGCTTTGCGCTTCCGCTGGTTTTGAGGAGCTTTCTCAAAGAGCCATATTTGATGGCAATCCTGTAGGTGTCCTTGCCAACCTTTTGAGAAGCTCCCACTTGGTCTACAGGGTGTGTCTTAAAATAGGGGGCTTCCTATCTGGCTGGCTTCCCAAAATTGGGTTTCCCTTTAAAACCACCCCAAAAGGAGTTCCCTCGAACGACAGATCCATCCCCAGCATCTGGCCTCTGGGATGCAGAAGGTCACCTTGTCCCCCGCTTGGAACCGGATCTGCCCGCAGTTCTCTTGGTGCACCCGCACCTTGAAGCAAGCCAAGATTTTGTTCATTTACTGCCTGGGACTACACCCAGAAAGGGGGAGCTGCGTTGGCTGGGTGGGATTTGGTTGCGGGGGGTGGCGGGCTGAATGAATGCCCCCCCTTGTTTCGCGAGTTCCCATTTCCTTTGTCCTGCGCGATTCCTAGAATCCCGTGAAACCAACAAACGCGTCTCTATCGAATTAGGTCTGATGCCAACTATTGGCTCCGTTTCGAAAGGCCAGCAGGAAACGGGGCTCCCGGTGCCGAAGCTCGATCTTTCGGCCAACCTAGCCGCGAATCTTCAAAGCTCTAGGCGGGATGTAGAAACATCCACTAGAATGGCCAAGAGGATTTTGCTTTTGCTTCTCCCCTGCACAACCGGGTTGAATAGGTGAACCAAATTGGAGAAACTGGCGTCGGTTCTCGAGGAAAGCCTGGCTCTCGAGAGAGCATCACTTATCAGCTTCCCGCCAATTGGTGGTTTGGATTTGTGGCTTGGTGGTGAAGGAGGGGTTTCCTATTTGAGAGTTCAAATCCCCGTTACCTGAACTTGGGTGTCTTCTTTCGAGGGCATCCCCTGTTGGGGTGGCTTTAACGAGAAACAGACAGGACACCCACATTGGAGGTGCCCCGTTTTGATTGCATGCATTGGGAAAACAAGTCACTGATTTCACAGATCCCAAACACACACACACACCAATCAAAGATGCATGTGTGGGAAATATTATTGACAAGAACTGTTTGAGGGAGATGGTGTTCTCACTTGCCCAAAGGACCTGGACATAAAAGACCAACCTTCTGGGGCCATGACTAAAGTGGACCAACAAGGGGAAACGAGGCGCCGGGCAAGTTCTTTTGTTTTAGGGCATGGCAATGTTATTTGAGATGTCCCTTGAAGCCCGGTGGACTGAGCACCTTTGTTGGACCTTAGGGGTCCCATCCAAGCCAACCAAGGGGAACCTGAACTGAATGTAATCAAACACAAATACACTTCCCTGAAATTTCGGGCGGGGCTTTGTCTGTGAAAGGAGATGTTAGCCCGGTACCAGCCTTCAACTGTGAGAGCTTTAGATATAACTTAGTTAAGTAATTTATCATTCCCCCCTGTTGAATTACGTGTGTTTAAATCACACAACTTCATTCTGGTTTCCCTTGAAAGCCCATTGTGTGCGTGTGTTTCTGAATCCGAAGGGAACAATCATCCTCGGCTTCTGGGAAGGGAATATTCCAAAACCACTGAGCGATATAGAAACGAAAAAGTGGGGGATCCCCCAAAGAAAGGTTCACTTTGGGTGACGTCACACCTCTATTCACCGTCACTTTGGAAAACACTCTGGGATGGAAGACTCTCACCGAGGTGAAGAGCCCTGCTCAACGATCATTTGCCTAGCTACCATGTTGCCCAACTCGTATCTCCGAAAGGCTCCCTCTTGAGGGCAAATTTGGACACCGTCACCCACTGCTCCCTTGCAACCACTGGCGATGGTGACTCCGCATTGATACACCCATATCAAACAGGGCTGTGTTCTAATTTCAAATGGATGGTTGGCCAATCCGATTGTCGAAGGTAAGGATCTTGCGGATTACCTTTGAACAGCCCAAATTCACTGGGTTCTGCTTACTCGGCGAGCATTCGCCTCAGCCACTTGAGCACCAGCCTCTTGGGCCCCAGCGTGAGAGTCTCGGCCGAAAAATTGGCCCACCTCCGCGCAGAAGGCGAGGCCGGCCTCCCTGGGCGAGCAGAACCGACCCGCATGCCGACCCCAGGTTTGGCGTTTGGGCTTTGGTAAAGCGAAGCCAAGACTTGGAGACGTGAAAAGTGAGCCTTTCCATGAGGGGTGGAAGGTCATCGGGTGGATGGAAGCTGGAGCTTCAAATGCGGAATGATGCCACGAAGACGTGCTGGAGGAGAGATGTTTTTTTGGCGGAAAGGACCTACATGCCTGAACAGACGGCGACATGCTCGATGATGCTGGCCGTAAAGGTTAAAGGGACTGAGGCTGACAAGTTGCAAGCAGCTGGCGGAGTGGAGAAGCTGGCGACGTGTTGAAGACTTGGCGCTGCTCCGGCAGTACATTCGCACCCTGGCGCATGGTGTAGCTGGAGTTCTTTGGGCCCTTGGTCACTCCGGTCGATTTTCTCACCAAATAGCTAGCATAACTTGAAACCATTTTTTTGCGTTGAGATGATGGCCAATGAAGGGAAGCAAAGGCATGAAAGTGCAGGCAACGGGCAGCGGGTCCAAATAGATTAGTCAAACCTGTCAACCCAGGCATCCAGCAAGGATTGCAACAAAGTTGGTTGCCAGGGGTCCATGATTCCGTATCATTTTCCGGGGAACATCCGTGACATGAATGCCCCCCACAACTTGATGTGCATTTGGTGCCGTGGTGTGATTGGAGGTTGTAGTTTTGTGTGTTGTTGTTGTGTGCAACCATGCAAACAGAATGGCTGGATCAAAACACCTCCGGAAGAACAACCTATTTGCATCTCCGTTTCCCAGGTCCTCGATTCGTATTCTTTGCCGCACGAAAATGAATTGGCCGACTTTGGCCCAGCGAAACTCTCCCTTTGTCCAAAACACTGTGCAACCTTGTTGGCATTTGCCGTGTAGCATGTGTCTGCTCCGAAGTTGCAATCAAACTACACACACCCATTTCCCGGAAAGTCCCTTCCACATACGACCCCATGCAAGAGCTACGGGGGATTCAAGGAGGGGGCTTCTTTGCTGCTCCAGAGCAATGAAGGAGGCCGAATGAAACTTAGGATCTTTCTCAGAGAAAGGGTAGTGACCGGGTGGGTGCATTCAGGAAGGAAGGGGGGGGTCCTTCGCACACCATCTGTCCCAAAGCTAAGATCCAAATACCGCCTTAAGGCCAGGACTCCGGAAACGGGGATCCCTCCAAATTCGCCATACTATCCCAAAAGTTTGTTCAGAAGAGTTTTCCCATTCCCAGATTCCCAGATCTACACGTCCTTTTCTTTCCCAACCTCTTTTTTCTCCCCAAAAAGCTATGGGTTCCCCAGCTTTTATGCTACTTTGGATGGACGAGATCCTGCACCACTCGACACCATGGTTGAAACCATTGTTGCTTGGTAGGGAATCATCAGAAACTCACTGGCTGAGTGGATGGCCCAAAAAAAGTTCAAACTTTAAACTTACCACCAAAATGGTCTTCCCAAAAAGTTTAAAGTTCATGAACTCAGGAAGTGAGGAAACCAGGGTCTCTCAGATGCTGCGACCGGACTTCGCGTCCATCCACTGGATGGGTTCCGGGTGCCAGGCCAGGGCTTCGCCGGCTCACCCAGCCACCTGAGAGTCGGGCGGTGGAGTCGTGTTGCTGCCGCCGCGAAGCACAAAGGAAAAACCGGCAACAAATGGTTCAATGACAAGAAAACAAAACAAAAAAAACAGAAGAAAAAGAAGAAGAACAACCACCAGCTGGTGATATGGTTGTTCAATTAAAAAAAATAGAAATAAATGCTGGAAGCCTTCGGAAGTTGCCCTGAAAGCTGCTAAAAAAAGCCTTTCACCAAAGACCCGAAAAGTGAGATCTATCCAACATCGAGTGACATCCAACCCAACCGACTAGAGGGAAGCCATTTGGGGAACAAGCTGGACGCCCTTTAATCATTCAACCATGGTTTGTGAGTAGTTGGTGGTTGGTTTACATGCAATAGGTCATTCCAACGGCTGAGGGCTTGAAACAGTTCATGATGTGGGATTGATTCTGTGAAACCTGAGGTCATAGGAGCATTAGCCCCCATGTAGGGAAAGCGGCCTCTGTTGGTCATCTGGGATTCCAACCAGACAATTTCAACCCGGGTGGGTCCAGGTGGAAACCCGTGCCCCGCCGACGGAAGAGACGCAACAATCCTTCAGGGGAACAGGGAATCTAGGGACGACCTAGGGCAAGGCCGTGGTTTTGGCCGGATGCGTTCGGTCTTGCAACTTCCAACTTTAAGACCTTCCCATCGCCACAAACCCCAAGATCGCTGCTTGTCGCACTTGCTGAGACCAGGAGTAGTTTGTTGGAGCACGCGGGCTGGTGATTTTCGGGTATCCCCTTGCGGGATAGTTTCAAAAGGAGATCAAAGCACACCAACTCCCTTCATTTGCTTGCGCCCCATGGAAAAAAAACCTACAGCGATAGATAGATTCCCTATAAAACCAACAATTAAGGGAAAATACAAAATACTCTTAAGCAAATGGAAGACTATTTTATGCGTTGCCCTTTGACGCTGGTGATGTGTCGGGCTGCACCGGAGAGATGTCTTCCGTTTCAGCAGAACTGACGACACCATCGGCCAGTTTGGCTACCATCAGTCACAAAGCCATGAAATGCAACAGATACAGATCATTGGCCCTCATGATTTCCAGCTGTGAGGGGTGAAGCAAATTGCTGTCAACACATGCGATGGCCTCCTCCGAAACTTCGGAGTCGAGATTAACGGAGGGGGGGTCAATTGGCGCATGGGTGATGGGTGTCTTTCAAAACAAGAAGGAAACCAATTAATTAAAGAAGGTGCTTGCGTAGTTTTCTCCAAGGGTGTTTCACCCCTACCAATCCAAACTGCCAAGTCAGGTTTACCCGAGCCACGGTCAATATTCATTGCCCCCCCCCCCCCACAAATAACATTGGATTCTGGTCCGTCATCCCCATTTCCCTAGTGGGATTGTGGTGAGTGTGCTAGTATGTGCTAGTGTCATCCCAGAGACAGCCAGTCCCAAACCCCGAAATTCTGACTTTCTGCCCGTAGCTTGGCAAGTCGGATGCTCTCGCAAGGGAGCAAAGGAACTGAAAATTCAACCAGAATCATGTAAAGGCATCCATTCATGCTTTGGACTGTCCCTTGCTACCCTTCATCTTACCGAATCTTGATTGTGGCTCAAATAATGTTTAATCCAGCCAAATCGCCTTGTCCCCCTTCATGCTCCCCATCCACTGCCTGCCTGTTGATTCTAACTACTCGCCATAGCCACGGACAAAATGTTCCTTGCCCAGGACGTACCTGGAGTCTCCATGATCCTTTAAAAATGGGTCCATGACCCCATTATTTTAGGTAATGACCATTTTTTTAAGGGTCATGGAGACTCCAGGTAGATTGAGTTGCCCCCGTGTTTTCCGAGTTTGCGGTTGCCAAAAAGGGAGCTTGCCCCTCCATACACCGGAAGTGCTCACCAAAAATAAGCTTGCCCACGGACCTAAAGCAAAGAGGAGCATCAGCTCCCAAAGATTTGAATCCATGTGTTGTCCAAACCCACATATTTCGTGGGCACCCAACAAAAAACGTGTGGGGGGGGGATTTTGTTTGCAACCCACCCCAATTCCTTTACGCCGACAAAAAATAAAGGTATCCTCGATCAACCTGTTGGTTTCGCCACAAACCTAAAACCACCCCCTTAGTTTCTCTTTCAAGCTGTCTTGCTCCAAATTCTCCACACACTCCTCGCCGCTTGGATCCAAAAAAAAAACGCATCCACCTGGGTGAACAATCATCTTTTTGACCAACCTGAAAATCAGGTGTGTTGGGGGAATCTTCCCCACCTAACCCACCACTTGGGGTGAGCGGTCGTGTTTGTTTTTTCTCGCCCCGGGCTCCGGGGATGGAGTTTCGTCTCTGGGAGCTTCGGCTTTGGGGGCTCCAGGATGCTGCCGTGGAACTTCTGCATCTTCCGGACCTTCGGTCGCTTGGCTCGCCCCTACCAAAAACCAGGTATTTGTCTTTCTTTGTTTTTTTTTTTGGGGGGGGGGGAAATGGGGCAGGGGGGGAGGGGGGGGAGGAAAATGGGGAAGGGGAGGGGGGGGAGGGGGGGGGGAGGGGGGGGGGAGGGGGGGAGGGGGGGGGGGGGGGGGGAGGGGGGGGGGAGGGGGGGGGGAGGGGGGGGGGGGGGGGGGAGGGGGGGGGAGGGGGGGGGGAGGGGGGGGGAGGGGGGGGGGAGGGGGGGGGAGGGGGGGGAGGGGGGGGGAGGGGGGGGGGAGGGGGGGGGGGAGGGGGGGGGGGAGGGGGGAGGGGGAGGGGGAGGGGGGGGGGGGGGGGGAGGGGGGGGGAGGGTTTAGGCACTCAGCGGGAGAAGATCGAGACACATGTGTTTCGTGTCTGTTTCTTGCTTCTTGGAGTCGTTTTCTGGTTGCCTGATTGAAACGGACTCTGAGAGGATCTTGGGAGACATATCCGTTTTTTTCACAGAGCTTTCAAGGGGTTCCCCTTCTCAGGGGTCGTTTTGGAGAAACACGAACCGCTGCTTGATTCGAACCACAACAGCGCCATCTTCTTTTTTTTCAACCGGACATCAGCAGCTGGAACTCTGGAAGCACGCTGAATCCAACAAAACATGCTGTGAGCGTGTCCGTTTTCTTGTGTGGTCTTCAGAATGAACTTCGCAGATTCCAAGCCGTGGATATGTTAGAACCACTGGTATGTTAGCACAGATTCCAAAGAGGTGGCACCGGGGTCCTAGAAGTTGGATGTTGAAAGCCCCGTGTTCCCGAACTCAAAATCCAAAGCGCTTGCCAGTTACATGAAGAAATTCGCGCATGGCAGCCAACAAGAATGCTGCAAGTATTGGCTGCCATGTTCGATGGGTCTGTCAACTGACCCAAGTTGCCCAGGGCAACCCGAACAGTCTCGGCCTCTGTGGATGGTGCTGAGGGATACTTCCCTTGCTTTAGTGAACCAGACATTTCCCCAAGCAAAAATGACTCAGTACCAGGCTGCCAAGCATCTGTTGCACCACCCCCTTGTAGCCTGTTTAAACCCTAGGGGGCTGAATCGACTTTGGATCTTTGTGCAAGTTTTGCCCTCGAACATGTTCCATTGATCCGCCATCCGTGGGGCTTATCTCGGGGGCCGATTGACACCGCGGAAGGAAACGTGAACGCCAGTGTGGTGTTCACGAGCCTAAAGCTTGGTTTAAACAAAGATAAACCGCCTCTTTTTGCTTAAGGCCCCGGGGAAACAAAAACAAAAAACAAGTCCCCCTGGAGAAAAACACATGTGTTTTCAGTAGTGAGAGATTCCCCTCAAGACCCAAAGGGCAAACACACACACACACACAAAAAAAAAAAAAAAAAACAATTGCATGGAAACCACCACGCATTCTCTGAAACTGGATGCCTTGACGGCTTGTGGGAAGCCCTCCACACTCAGCTTGACCATGAACTGCACCAAATCCTGGCACAGGATGTCCGTCGGTCCATGGACCAAAGGCTCCCTGACTTTGAGAAAAAGGAACTGATGCGTCGGCCAAAAGACAACATGTTTTCGTTTGAATTGTTGCATGGCGGAGAGACCTATTCATCGGATGCCCTAACGGCTTTTTTTGAAATACTTTCGGATGGCAGCTGCAGCGAAATCCGTCCTGGAGGCAGTTGATGCAACGCTGACAAGAACAAATGCAGGTTGGCGATCGAGAATCCGTTTTCACACGCGGCAAAGTGCGTCAGCCGTGATCAAAAACTACTCTTTACCCCAGAAACGCGCGGGCAAGACAAATCGGCTGGCCCCTCGGAATGGAGCATGGACTGGGATATGTTGAAATATCTTGACTCAATGAGCACCCAGCAAAAATGTGGCCCGACGAAAATATACAAAGAATCGCAAGGACGGATACCCGCACCTGTTTAGGGCTAAGGCTTGCTGACTTTCACTCAGGCTTCAATTGTGGCTCACATGGACAAACTGGATGCTCTCAGATCATTGAAGCGGGACATGGCTTCTTCAAGGCTACCCTCCAAAGATTGAAGTGCGCACACTTGATCAAAGGACTGGTTGTTCATTCCACCAGACCATGCCAGGAAGAACACAGAACAATTACATCAATTTGGGCAAGTTACTATGCAATTCACCGAGCGAAAATATGGCACCCAAGAAAGGAACCGACACACACAGGGTTCAACATGAACGCCTGTCCCTAGGTCTGAAAAACATAGCGAACCCTGTTTCACGTTGTTTAGTCTACACTACTTGCATCAGTTTGAGGGGATTCCAAACTTTTTGGGGCCAATCTGGGCCGATCCGGTGAGAAAAACATAGCCGTTCTCGTCAGACGCGTCATCTGTTTTTTTGTTCCTTTGGGTCCCCCAAACACATTTGTTGCATATCAAGACTAACCAAACATCACTACAACTGGGCTCCCAGTACCGAGCAAAGAGACAAAAGGCAAAACAGGCAAGGTTTAAGTACAGGTGCTCCCCAAAGCCGATTCTTTTTTAAGCGCTCTAGGTCCAAAAGGGGGTCCAGCAAAACGGCCGGCCTTCCTCACACTTTCTCACGCCCGTTGCCCGCTCGAGGCTTCTCCAAGCCTCTTCTGCCAGCCGAGGCAAACTCGCATTGTCCTGAGAAAGCTGGCCTAACACCTTGCCCCACCTCAGCCTTACCTCCGGAAATCCTATCTTTCTGGCTCATGAGCTGTAGGGCAGCACGGGATCCCAGTGGAATGAAGGCCAAACTCAGCCCAAATCCAGATCCGTCGCCTGAGCCCATCGGAAAATCCGGCCTCGTGTTCCGAGCTTCGAACGTGGCCAGGAAACGTCCGGCCTCTAACCGGGGCTCCGACCGCCTCTGCCGCAGCCAAGTCCTGGGCCACCTATGCGGCCGATGAAGAGAACCAAAGCTCGGGTTCATTCCCCCATGCTTTTCAACCATAGCTGTTTCCTTTGGGGTTCTGATGGTTTCTGGAAACAAGGATCCCTGGAAAGAACAGGGACGTGTCCCCTACAAAAACCTGCTGTTGGGCCGAAAGAAACATCTCAAAGCGGAGATTTCATTAAGACCAAGCTTGCGGTTGGAGAAAGCACAGCCAAACAGGACCAAACAAAAGGTAATATTTGGCTTGACCAACACACTTCTTCAGGGCTGTGTGTGCTTAGCTGGTTTGTTTGTTTTTGGGTTTGGGGTGCAATCCTGTAGTAGATCAAGCAAACAAGCAAACAAGCAAACAAACACACCAAATCGATTCTGCTACCCTAAGCCACACCCAAAACACAGAACAAAACAAAACACAAGAAACCAAACATGCAGACACAAACAGCACAAAACAACGCCAAAAGATTAACGAAAACAAAAACAAACACAACACTATACACAACACTGCAGCGCACACCAAGGCAACGTAACACGGGCAGAAAACAAGCCAAACAAAACAAAACACAAAAACAAAAACCCAAAACAAAACAACACAACTAAAGAACAAGTAAGCAAGCTCCCGCACTTTGTCCGGAACTTTGTCCGGCACTTTGTCCCGCATATCGAGGGGGGTGTTTATGCAGAAGGGCATTCGTTCAAAATTACATACATACATACATACATACATACATACATACATACATACATACATACATTACTTACATTACACACATACATACATACATTACATTACATTACATGACATTACATTACATACATACATTACATACATACATACATACATACATACCTTACATACATACATACCTGCATACATACCTGCATACATACATTACATACATACATAAATACATACATACGTACATTACATACATACATACATACATACATGCACACATACATACATTACATTACGTTACGTTACACCACATACATACATACATACATACATACATTACATACATTACATACATACATACATACATACGTACATACATACATTACATTACATTGCATTACATTGCATTGCATTACATTACATTACATACATACATACATACATACATACATACATACATACATACATTACATACATTACATTACATACATACATACACACATTACATACATACATACATACATACATACATACATACATACAACATTACATTACATTACATTACATTACATTACATTACATTACCTTACATACATACATACATACATACATTACATACATACATACGTACATACATACATTACATTACATCCATTACATACATACATACATACATACATACATACATACATACATACATACATACATACATACAAAAACTACATACATACATTACATACATACATTACATACATACATACGTACATTACATACATACATACATACATGCACACATACATACATACATTACGTTACGTACATACATACATACATACATACATACATACATTACATACATACATACATACATACATACGTACATACATACATTACATTACATTACATACATACATACATACATACATACATACATACATACATATATACATTACATACATACATACATACAACACATACATTACATACATACATACATACATACATACATACATACATACATACATTACATACATACATGCATGCATGCATACGTTACATTACATACATACACACATTGCAGACATACATGCATACATACATGACATTTCATTACATTACATTACATACATACATACATACACATAAACATACATACATACATACATACATACATACATGACATACATACATACATACATACATACATTACATACATACATACATACATACATACATACATACATACATACATACATACATACATACATACATACATACATACATACATACATACATACATACATACATACATACATACATACATACATACCTACCTACATACATACATACATACATACATACATACATACATACATACATACATACATACATACATACATACATACATACATACATACATACATACATACATACATACATACATACATACATACATACATACATACATACATACATACATACATACATACATACACATACATACATACATACATACATACATACATACATACATACATACATACATACATACATACATACATTACATACATACATACATACATACATACATACATACATACATACATACATACATACATACATACATTACATACATACATACATACATACATACATACAAATATTACATTACATACATACATACATACATACATACATACATACAAAGATACATTACATACATACATCAAACTCATTACATACATTACATACATACATACATACATACATACATGCATGCATACATACATACATACATACTTATTTCTTGAACCCAGTTTCAAACCGAGGGGGGGACCAAAAACCCACTAGGGAAGAGCGGCAACCCCGAAGGGGGCAAACAGGCGGTCGGCACAACCTTGTCAGAGGCTAACAAAAGGTGGAATGTGTCCCATCACGACGTGGCAGAGTGCGGCCTTGTTTGCCTCCTTGGCGCAAGGGGGTAAACATGTGCAACTTGCAAAAGGAAGCCCTTGCACTGCAAGGCAGACGCATGAAGCACCACTAGGTGTTTCACTGTCACACCACTAAGTGTTTTCAAGCGTCGCTTTCACCACGTTCTGAAAAGTAACGTCGCCACACCACTAGGTGTGGAAAAAGGGGAGGGAGGGCGGGTCAAAAAAACAAAGGTTTCGGACCCAGATCCACCAGGCAGCCAAAATTGTGACAACTGCCTACAGGTAATGAGTTCGGCCTTGGCGGAGGCGCTTTGTATCCAAAGGCGCTCTGACTGAGTCCTGGAAGGACACCTTGCTCGAGGAGGGGATTTTGTAGGAACAGGAGCCTTTGCCGGAGCCGAAGAGCCTGCACGAGGAAGTTCCTTGGGCAATGGAGGCTTGCTGCCAAAAATGATCTTTGGCGTGGCCCTTGACGGTGGTTGCTCTGTTGTTCCAATCCTCCTGCTATGCAAAGCAATAGGCTCAATATGCGCTGGTGCCTCGTATACGTGCCGAGGCACGTAAGCCGCCCTGCCAGTTGTAAGAGCTTCCGCGTCCTGCGTAGGCTTCTCCTCTGAGCTATAGGCGTCAAGACGATAGTGCTCCGCTGGTCCTGGGCGTCGATCTGGAGATCGTGATTGCGAGCTTGCGGATCTCTCCAAGTCTCGTCCGCAAGTGAATACGGGTCAGCCTGACGGAGATGTCGGGATGTCCGCTTCGCCCGGCGGTGAGATGTCGCCTCACGTGGCTGTGAAGCCTCTCGAACGAGTACCCGCCGTGCTTGTCGAAGCGTGTCACGGGGTAAATACTGTTCTGTGGCGCCAAGACAATAGGGCGTGTTGCAAGAGATGTCCTTGACGGCCGCGCGAGCGCGGGTTCACGCAGGGACGGATGCGGGCTCTTGCCTTTGAGATGAAGGAGGCCTTGATCTCGGAAGAGGTGATCGTTTCCGGCTGCTGTCCTGCCGCGTTTCCGCGGCTTTGGCGTATACCCCACGAAGTGCAGTTTTGGCAGCACCTCGCAACACTTGCCTCTCTTCTGCAGATGGTCGGTGACGAGGCAGTGGCTCACGAGGAGGATCTTGTTGCCAGGATGGAGTAGGCGGGGGCAAAAGTCGCAACCAATCCTTGACCTTGCTGCTAGACCCTGCCGCGCCAGAGGCTCCGGCTCTATCCTGGTCTGGATGCTCCTGAGGCACTACCGCACCAGCGGTTTCAACCGAAGCAAGACGCTGTTGGCAAGCGTTGTCGGCGGCCTCAATGACCTCCCAAGCCTCTGGGTCGAAATGCCACAAGTGCCAGCTGCCCAATGTTTCCTGCCAGGTAAAAAGGGCCTCAATCTGTTGCTTTGAGGCCTCTGTAAACTTGATCCAGCAAAAACGTCGGCCTTGCTTCTTGTATTCGTCAACCACAATCTGTTGTCATGTGTTGTACAGACAAGCACGCGGCCCCTTGCCACCGCGATTGCCGCGGTGAGGGCCGGCTTCCATGTGCGACCGAAACGGCCGCAGTCACAGAAGGGTTTGTTTACCCGAAAAGCGTTACGGCTGATAACCACTCAAAGGAGAGGGAAACACAGTTTTCTCAACAACGGGGGAACCCGGGACCTTAAAAGGAACGAACCCCGCCGTGACTGCGACCTCTCCCTTAACTTGGGCAAACGCGCGCAGTGCGCGCCTTTTTCTCTTGAGCCAAATGATAGCATGCGGGCATGCTATCCATCTGTACGAATTGACTTGTTGGTTCACCTTGCAAACGGGTATCTGACTCATGAACCTCTGGGCCATAAATGTCATCGTGACAATTGACTTCATAGACATACATTGCATACATACATACATACCTACATAGATGCATTACATTACATACATTCTTACATTACATACATATAATATATATATATATATACATAATATATATATATATATATATATATATATGTGTGTACAAAGATGCATGCATACATACATGTAACATATGCACACAAACAACCATGCATGCATGCATGCATGCATTACATACAGTACGAGTACGTTACATTTCAGCTGGATCCAAGACATTGTAACACACAATTATGACAGTTTCAGCGAGAGTACCCTCTAAGCACCCTGCATGCGAGAGTGCAAGTTGCGCTTGCGAGCGAGCGGACAGGTGGACGAGTGGACGAGTGACTCAAACACTCGCTCCCTACTCGCACACTTTTCGCTTGATCAGAAATATAGTATTTTGTTAGACTGTATGTTTTGGCACGCACATGAAAGTAGCATTATTGAGCCGACACAGGGTCAACAAAAATGTGTTCTGTTCGAGTGCGCTCGCTCGCAGGTTCCAATCGCACACTCGCACAGTCCACTCGCACCCTCGCACACTCCACTCGCACACTCGCGCACTCCACTTGTGCACTCGTCAAAAAGCCACTCGTACAGTATTTGGCAAATGCGCTTCAAAACAACTGGCTACAACCTGTTATCACAAGCTAGATTAGAGTACCGTTCAGTACACTAATAGTACACTGCAGTACATTCACTTACATTACATTTACGAACATTACATTGCATTGCACCGCACTACGGTACATGACACTACAGTACATTACATTTGCACTACATGCATGCATAAATGCAAACATAACAAAAAGAAAGCAGAACAACATTGACCAAGCCAAACCACGGATATGTTTTCCTGAAACAAAACAATTGAACAAAAAAAACAAACAAAAAACGCAAAAGCAACATCTAGCCATGAACAAAGTAAACCAACGAGCTGAAAAACAGCACAGCGTTGGTCCGTCCGGCGTCTCTCGGCCTGATGGGGGTCCTCCCCTGGCTTTAGCCAAATGCCCGCCGCCGCCATCTGCGCCTCGCCAAATGCGCCCAATAATTCAATACATAAGTTGACAAAGCAAAAAAACACCAATCAATCAATCAATCAATCCAATCCAATCCAATCCAATGCAATGCAATTCAATCCAATCCAATGCAATCCAATGCAATGAATGCAATCCAATCCAAACCAATGCAATGCAATGCAATCCAATCTAATCCAATGCAATCCAATCCAATGCAATCCATTCCAATGCAATGCAACAAAAACCCAATCCAATCCAATGCAATCCAATCCAATGCAATCCAATGCAATCCAATGCAATGAATGCAATCCAATCCAAACCAATGCAATGCAATCCAATCCAATCCAATGCAATCTAATCCAATGCAATCCAATCCAAACCAATGCAATCCAATGCAATCCAATGCAATGAATGCAATCCAATCCAAACCAATGCAATGCAATTCAATCCAATCCAATGCAATCCAATGCAATGAATGCAATCCAATCCAAACCAATGCAATGCAATGCAATCCAATCTAATCCAATGCAATCCAATCC